ATCTCTTTATTTATTAATGATAGTATAAACATCAAAAAAGTAATAAAAAAAAAATATTTAAAAACTTTAATATTTTTTACATGTTATTGCACATGAAAGCACTATATAATTTAAAAATCAAAAATAAATTGAAAAGAGCAACAGCACGGAACGCTGGCGATGCCGGTTCAAGTCCTGCCAGAGTCGAAAAAAATTTTTTTTTTAACTACAAAATATTTTTCATTTATTGGATGGAGTTACTACCATCCCATTATTGATCAGATTTCCTAATGTTTAAAGTTTGTATTTTTATTAACATGTTAGACTTGTTTCAAATAGCTTATTTAAAAAAATCTAAGCGTGTGTATTTTTAGTTTAACTTGACAAAATATTTGTGATTACATAACTTTCCCTTCGCGGATAGTCAATATGTAAATTCTAAACTCTAAACTCAACATTTTCGTATTCAAGACAATAGTTATTATTTGAAGTAGAAGCCTTAGTATTTAAATTTTACGTGAAAATTTTCCTGACGCTTTCCACTTAAGCGCCCTTTGAAACGAGGGAATTTTTCAAACAAATCAATGATTACCGAATGATGCTGTCAGTTTTTCTTAAAAGAATTCTTATACAAATATAACACTATATAAGCTATTTAACGACGCCACACTAACAGCAAGACGAAAATTCATGTGTTCATATTATTTATAATTTATTACACAACACACGCAATTACATTGCACCAAAATAATAGAAGAAAATATAACATCTAGATACTGCGGAGTATAACGGGCGGCTTATCACTATCAAACGATCTCTTCCAGGCAACCTTTAGAAAACCTTTATCAATGTCTATCTAGTCTATAGGCTAAACTATTTGTCCAAAATGGTTTATGGAAGTAACACACGATTTTTACGACACACAGCCTAAATAGTATTATGATTGATGGGTGACGATGGGGGACCTTTTGCAACGTGATGCATACTTTAGGTTTCTTAGTTTTCAATATTACATATATAAGAATAAAATCCATATTTAAAGATTTTATTTTCATGTATTAAAAATAATTAATTACGCATATTTTTCAATTATATATGAACTTAATGTACCTAATGTTGTACAAATTTTAATTAAATAAATAAATAAAACTAAATCATTTGTATGTAAATAAATGCTTTATTATTATTCTTATATGAAGCACTAACATCAAGACAAAGTTCTAATATAAAAAATAGAATTTTTAACAATAGAACTAAATTCATCATCTATTGAGACTGAAATAATGTCTCGGGCGGGACTCGACCCCAAACAATAGAGCCACCGTGTATGTTAAAATTTGTACGTGAAAAATGTTAAACTTTCCAAACACAAAACTAATTTCCAAATGAAAACGACAAATACAACCTATTAACTTCACACAAGTAGTTTCAGATCAGTAATAATTTCCTTTTCGCGACCGTATTTTCAGAAAAATCGGTGAAAAATTATTATAGAATTTACCTCCGATTCAATTTTCCCGGTGTCTTTGAATACGCTTTGATTAATTCTATTGAAATGGACTGTTTCTATGGGAATAAAGGTAAAGCAAAAGTGGGTCTGACATAATTAGTGCCTCTTGATTGGCTAGTCAAATTCGATTGTATACAGTTCTTCGAACCAATTATGTGTCTATTCAAAAGCAATAAAACTTCGATAACGCATCAAATATGTTACCATCTACATATTACAGTAAGTTCTTTGTATCTTCTCAGTCACATTAAACATTGAATTAAGTATATAGTCTATAGATTAACGGTTTAAAACGCGCCATTCTCCCCCGTAACAACGACTGCAATGCAACTTGTTATAGATAAAAATATGTTATTATATTTCGCGTTTAATACCGTTAAAATTATTATATTATACAATTTGTAAATGTGTTGTTCTCGCAAATGTTATAATCATTGCTTACACAATAAATATATGTATCCTTCATTCCTTATTAAATAAATTACATTTTTATCGCGATTTAAAAACTCTTGCAGAAGCATTATATGAACTGGCAGAAATGCTGTCATAAAGATAACGTTAATTGAGGACACATTATTTTTCTGCGCAAGAGTCACTCGAACACAACACAATTTGTTGCATTTTTAAAATATATTGGTTTCAAAAAATATTAAGCACTAGCTGTGTCAGCGACTTCGTCCGCGTAGAATAATAAGTGACCACGACCCACGACGTCGGTCCTCCTCGTTCTTGCAAGTTTATCTTAAAAGATAGACATATAGTGTTGCGGATTTTTTTTTAGATCATTTAAATAGGAATCATTCTTTTATACATATTTTTTGGGTATCTGGAACAATTTTCGCAGCATACACACAGCGCGGTGTTTTGTATCCTATTAAATAAATCTTCCTCGATACATGCTCTAACCAACCAAAAAAAATGTTCGTGAGATAGTTTAGTAGTAGTTCCTGAGATTAGTGCGTTCAAACAAACAAACAATTTTTTCAGCTTTATATATTAGTATAGATTTAAGATTCAGATGTTTTTCGTTGTCTTTTTCATTTGTCAATAAAAAAATATCTTCTGAGTGCAATAACTACTATAAAACATCGTCTATAAGGTATTACATCAATATCCGATTATGAAACGCAATTATTAAGATTTATGATATTGTTAAGACATACACAATATTATAGGCCGATGATTGTTATAAATGGCTCCGCTAAGTCACCTGAGAACGGTCTATTTGTCTCATATTTTATCAACTAAGTGATCGTCCTTGTTCATAATATATTGTATATCCTTCGTCTATTGTCCCTTGCGGAGTGGAATATTTTAGAAATAAATGTTAGCGTAAATAATTACAATTTTATATAACGCCGTACTGAAATATTTAACGATAGAGCACTATCATACAAAAAGGCTTCTTATTTATAACTTTAGGAAGGAAATTTTCAACTCAACAGAAAAAATTTAAGATCTCAAACCATTACTTCAACATGTATAAGATACTAGACCTAAACCAAAAATTTATTAGAAATAATTTCAAACAAATTTCAAAATAAATTTGTAATTGAAGATATGCAACAACAATGATTTTGATAGGACCCGAAAAAAATCTCACAAACATCTACTACTACTTAGGCTTTTCAATAAATTATATTAACTACTGGTGGAATAAAATTTGCACATTATCATTTAGTCAAATAATAATAATCTCAATAAAAAAGACTATAAAATGACAAAACTCTGAAATTCAGATTGTGTGTAGATGAGCCGTTTCTCAAGGTTTACAATAATAATTGACTGTAACGGAAAAAAATCTATTACACGATAATTAATTAGATATAATTTTTACACTGGATTTTTTCCTAAAGCTAGTTAGAAACGAAATGTTATAAAGACAATTCATTCATACAAAAAGCGGCGAGATATCATTTGACCAGTTTGACCTCGTCGTATAGGGTTGTCACTTATTAAAACAGATTTTATTATTACCATAATTGAAAATTAAGACGAGTCTTTACACTGCACAGTGAAAACTAAAATGTTTGATATCTGTTACCGTTAAAACCTTTGAAATAAATATCTCTGACTCTTTTCTGTAATATAGGGTGCGAAAAAGACACGAAACCTCCCTCGTCCTCGATGAACATGTTACTAGAGTGTGCGTTCAACTTAATAAAACCACCTTTGGTTGAATATTTGCCAATTAATTCATAGTCGTATTACGTACACACCCTACTGCGTGTCAGAGACGACATAAACATTACTCACACACTCGCATCGTGCTGTTTACATGGTTTGTGGTTGTGTTGGAGATAATGATAAACCGCGAAATACTACGCGCCAGAGAAGTTGCACAGTTTACATTTTACCGTCCAAAGATTTGTGAAACTTTATAGTAGAAATAAAATACGATTATTATCACTTTTGGAAAAACTACAAACATATTGGGACCCTCAAAAAGACGCGTTTTGAATGAGTTTTATTAAACTTATAACATTAAGCAATAGCAAAAGCCATAAGCCATTAGAATTCGAAGTACAAAAGACACAGATGGAAAATTAAAAATATTCTTTGGAAGAAGAAAACAAGAGGCACCACACTTGATTGTGAAAATAAATTAAGAACAAGATAAGAATGTCAAACAAGAGAAGAGGCAAGATCCATTTCCTATAATACGCTGATGGTTGTTCAACTATCCGGACGGTTCCTAAAATCAATTTCGTCGTGTTTACAGAGGAGCTGAGGACCCTACATCCTTTCCAACTTAAACCTTGTTTGCTGACGGTTGTTTACCAATTTATTCAACCAGTTACGGTTTGTTCATTCAACGACTTTCTGCTTACACGTAAATTAAGTGAAAAATTACGGACACGTTCTACTTCTTACAAGATAAATGGGAATACAGCTATCCAAAGAGTACGGTGTCTTTAACAATTTGGAACAACCTGTCCCCTGTCAGGGAAATAAAACGTGATCGCTACTTTGTTATTATAATAAAACACACTTTCAGATATGACAAAGCCCGAGCATCATTTGTATAACAATACGCGTATAATATCATTACGTACACAATAGACCCCATACATATGAATTGTTCGGATTACAGTGAAGCATATCACATGAGAGCGAGGTACTCTTCGTAATTACGCATATTGCATACTGCTTAAACATTTACCTACATCGCTTAACTAGAGAGTTGAAATTTGATCGCATTTTGCAGACATATGCCGCACTTTTGCCATTAGATAATCAACAGGTCAAATCGAACATGTACAATTTAAGATTCGGTTAAGCAACCGGAGTACTTACAGATATTCTATCACGGATTCCACAGTCGATATGAGAAACAAATGTTATCCGTCAACAAAAACACACGAAGTACACTGGGGCGTTAACCCGTCTGTTGGACTGCGTTTCGAAAACTTAGCAACCGAATGAATATTCAAAAATAGACCGACAGACGGTACACGCGCGATATTGTACGTAGGATCGCCGGCTAGAACGCGCGCGACTAGAGTCGGTACTAAGGTAGCAACAGGCGTGAGGACGTCGAATCTACGAAAATTGAGTTTAAAAGTTTCCAGTCGGTTGTCAAAGTTGGGTTCGCGAGAGGGCTCAACGCGGCGGATAGCGCGGCAGCCCTACGGCGCTCAGAAGTCGACTGGCGCCTCAGACCGCGCCGGCCTCCGCACCTCGCGAACCCACACACGCTCAGCGACTCACACAGAGGCACTCCGATATCTCCGACCACAACTATAAACTTCACACACACGCAATGCTGATAAACAACATAAAACACGATGCAGTTGCATTTATAAACATACATATCCCTCTTTCCAGGCGAGTCGCACTCGGGCGCGATGGCAGCTGTTGTGGGCATGGTTTCTACTGTAAGTCTAGATAAGTTTTTCCTCTATGAGTACCAGATCAGTTCAGCAGCTTAGGGACTCTATATTATTCAGCGCGTTGTCTCAATAGGTCATAGTTTAGTTTATACTATAATTGTAGAGTTTTGTGACAGAAGTGATAACTATAAAAATATCAATTAACAACGAGATAATTTAGCATATCTTGTATAAACTAGCACAGGTTGCAATAAAACACTTTTAACGGTTTAAAACGCGAAACATATTAGTTAAATTTAGTTACGAATTTTTTTTTTCGAATGCTTTGCGGCAGCCGTGGTCATGAACTCGATTGAAATGAACGAACATAATTTTTAAATAAGTTTAAGTAATATATTTTGCGTTTTTACCGGTTAAAAGTGTTTTATTGAAATGTGTATTACTCGCGTAAACTACAGACAATATTGAAAACACAAAATATTAACCGTATTTAGAATGACATTGACTAAAACAAACATGCTCCTATGGCTCCCCCTAACTGCATAAGCGGACGATGAAGGCTTTAGTGAAAAAGCCTTAAACAAGATCCTGAAATTAAGTATCTACTATTCATAACGCATAATATAATTCCCCTAAATAAGAATTTAGAGTTACTAAGTCTAGACATTATTCGTATTAACTTCAAGTAGTGGAGAAGATGACATATATTTTATTCTTTAATGGTTACAAATTACTGGTTTGTGTTATAGGAGAATGTAAGAATTGTCTCATTCTCAAATATTTAAGAAAGAATTTACATAGTTCGTAAATTTAACAAAAGATAGTTGACCAAATTTTTCGGATTTTTTTTTGACAGATTGTCGTGTATTATTAGTATGTTTGTATTTTATCTAATTATTACACACAATATTTTGAATAATCGGCAAACATTGTCAATTTAATAAATTTAATGTAAGACACTTTTTAACATACCGTGTCATAAGTTTAATAAAAAATTGGCAACATAGTCTATTGTATTCATATACATGCCTCGCATGTGATTGAATAGTACTTTGGGTATTATTTTAAAACATGGTTCGCATACAAACTCAATTCAATTGTTATATCATGTGATTTCGTCCTTTGCGCGGGCGGCGTGAACAACATAATTATTATATATTTAAAAAAAACATTTAAAGTCTCCTAACTCATCTTTTGTTCAAACGTTCCAAAAAAAATAACGAACATGTAACCCAAATATAACATCAAAGTACTCACTTGAATGGAATCCATCAAATTTTCTTACTGCATGGAAATTACCTGAAATGAAAAATACTACCGAAAATTTATATGAATCAAAACAAAAATGACAAAAGCAAAATTAAAAATGAATTCATAAATAAAATAATAATAATGAATTAATGAGTGCTTGAAATATATACTTAATCGATTATTGATAATAATAATAATTACATAATGACGTATATCTACTGTTTAAGAAAACAAATTGTTCATGCTCATATGGACTTGTTTTCGTGACTTGGTAAATTATAGTGATACTTTCACTGTCACAGTATATTATACAAATCTTTACTAATATTATAAATGCGAAAGTAACTCTGTCGGTCTGTCTGTCTGTTACTCTTTCACGCCAAAACTGCTGAACGGATTTGAATGAAATTTGGTATGCAGATGGTCTAGACCCGGAGAAAGAACATAGGCTACTTTTTATATTACATTACTTTTTATATTATATGCGAAAAGGGGTTAAAAGGGCGGGTAAATGTTGTGAGTTAGAGTAAGACTAATGTGACGTGAGAGTGTTGCGGCAAAGTAGCACTTACAACATAGATTGGCTGCGATAAATGCGCAATTATATAAATTAATAAACAGCCTAAATAATTAAAAATTCTACGCCAAGTCACTATTCAACGAGGTCGCGGGCACAGCTAGTTTTACATAAAAGAACTTAAACATTATAATATCTTCGCCCTGGTAGTTAAAATGGTAGAGAACTAACCTTCTGCAAACGTAGATACGTTTATACATTGTAGTTTGTAGAGCGTCTTAAAAGATAATATAGGATAAGAGTAAAACAAAATTAAGCTTGTTTATCTGCCCCTTTGTTCTTGTTTACGTAAAAGGTCGACTATAAAAAATTTAAAAGATGTGATGATCGTTTCGTTTCCTTTATTTCTGAAGAAGAAAAGATGGGGACAATAACTTGAACACCGATAATTTTCACGTGTTACTGAAATGAAAGATGGTGAAACTAAAAACGGCGTAATAGGCGTTGATAGAGTAACCAGTACAAGTGTTGGTTGTGATATCTAGTTACCGATTTTAAACTAAATACTTCTTAAATCGATTTTTAAATTATGTAATGTGTGCAAAATATTTAAGATCTGAATACTTCATTCATAGTAAATAATAAAAAAAAACTACAGTTATAGAGAGGATTTAAAAAAAATATTTTACAGACAAGTAGCTGATCAGATTTCTGTATCTTGTAATATAGAATCCAAGATACGCTTAACGCAAAACTAGGCACTCGATTAGATCATGAATCCACGGAGGCGGTCGAAAGCTCGGCAATTACGAGTAACTGCGAAATTTTCCTGATATCCAAAGCCAAAAAAGGTCGACATCGCGTCTTGTTGAAACGTTATATTTCTAAGGTATTTCATCCCCAAGTCAACCTATACTTGTCTGTTCTACTCTATCATAAAGCAGTGCTTGCTTAAAATAGAAAACCTTGGTCAAATCGCCCCAAAAGGGGATACTTTATTGAATGAGGTCAAATTTGCGTTAACAGAGTACAGACAATGCGCAATTCAACTTTTTTCAGAATACTGCAGCGTAGTGAAGCCAAGTCATGGAAAACAAATGGCAGTTTCTTTCAGTTGGCAATAGTCGTATCATTTATCATGTGCTAGGGTGGCCATGGTTTTACGTGTTATATGACTTAACGTGGCGATATTAGGCTATTCGTAGCCAAGAAATAGATGGATTTGACCAATACTCGCATTTAGACTGGAGTCAATTTAAAACAGTCTGGTATATGGCGTGTTAGAGATTGATAGGTATATTTTATATTTAATTAATTAAATTTATGCCAAAAAGCGATTTTTTTGCTAGTCATCATTGTAACGGGCCTTAGGCATTGTACGTAGAGATAAAAAAACGTTTTACATATTTGCTTTTAACTAACCAATTAAAATTTAATTATGTTATAAAAGTATTTGCTTGCCCAATTGACGTCATACATATAATTATTTTTTTTCTGGATATATTATGTCAATAACGATGGTACGTGGGAAAAATTAAGTTAAAAATATTTAAGGTTTCCATGTCTTGTAAAAAATATAATAAGCAACATAATCATTAAGAACTTTATAGATTTTTTTTATTATTTCCTGAATTTCATAAAATCTTTCTAGTTTGGTATTCCAAAATTGTTCGTCGTGCGAAATAAAACTTCTTCATGTACTAGTTTCTAACTGTAAAAAAAAGACCAAGATGTAATTGCAACTATGTTACTTATTTAAAGAATAACACTATCGGAAAATTTTCGTGCATATAAAAATATGAAAAAAGTTCTTGAACGTCAAGTCACATTACTCTGGAACAAATGCTCCGCAAACTGCTCCCTGGATCTTATCTACATTAGTAATTCGTTCACACTCAAGATATTAATGTGCCAAGAAAGTGCTTGCATTTCGCTTATTTTTCCTCGGGAAAAGTACAGTGAGAAACTGCATAACATATAATGATAATAAAATGGTTCGCTGTTTCAAGTTATGACAGAGCAAAGGCATAATTATTAGGTTTGCTCCGAATGTTCAGTGAGCCTTTGAACGAATATGCCGAATAACGATTCGCTCCAAAATCGATAGGTTCTAAAAAGCAACAAACACCGGTAATTTTTAATCAATATTCATAATATATACATATGTTTAATTATTTCATTTTTTTTAATTTTACCAATTATCGAGTCCCTAGTCCCTATAACTAAATACATAATCATTTTAGTATTCGCTCGAATAGTATGAAGGACGCCGAATAGGCCGTAACCGAATTGGTTGCAATCCTAATAATTATATGAGGCTGCTAGAGCCAGAGTGGCTTAATAATAAAAACATGATTACAATCAAGGAGGAAAATGAAAATTTGCAAATAACTTAGTTCAAAATAAATTTGTGAATTGTAATGAATAAAGTGTAAGAAATATGTTATCAATTTTCGGCCACTGTGCTCTTGTAGATTAACATTTTTAGACTATGACTAAATAACACAAGTCATAAAATTGCGGTTAGGCTACTCTGCCTCTAGCGACCTTATATGTTAAGCTTTGCCATCTTCGTCTAAAATACATACAATAAAAATTAATAGGCTAAGAGCATTACAATATTATTCTGTGTGCTCGCCAGCGGAAATCGTCCAATGTCAATGCTTGCGTCTATTCTCTTTGGATTTTTTTTTATATATATCGTTAATAACATCTTTTCTGTTTAAACAAATTAAGACAATAAAAAGAACCCGTTTCGTTAAGTTTAATTCTGATTACCCTATAACTTTTTATCGAATACTAGCTGTGTCAGCGACTTCGTCCGCGTAGAATAGTCAATTTTGGGCATCAACAATCTTGGTCTATAGATTTAAGCTGTTTAGTGTACCTACGTTGTCGGTCGCGTCACGTCGTTCTTGTAAGTTAATATTAAAAGATAGAATTATAGTGTCGAATCGTTTTTTAGATAAGTAATTTAAAGAGGAATAATTCTGTACACGTAGATATTTTTTGGGTATCTTGAACAGTTTTCACAGCGTACACTACGTACACAAAGATTCCAATTTTTTCGACATTTCGCGCCGTTTGTTCACTCCTAAGTCGCAGCGTGATGTTTTATAACCTAAAGCTTTCCACGATAAATGCTTTAACCAACACGAATCAGTAGTTCTTGAGATAAGCGCGTTCAAACAAACAATCTCTTCAGCTTTATATATGAGTAAGTATAGATCATAAGGCTGGCGTAAGAGCAACGCGCGTCAAATCCGC